CAACCCTTCGTGTAATAGATCTAATAACAAATCTTGCCCAAGCGCGTCATGGCCTCTGGTCTCTTTTCTACGGACCTCGTTCACTCGGCAACTGGAAAAGACCGTACAGTGGAGCTCCGGTCACAAACGGACCGTGAAAATTTAACCGTATTAACAGGGTAGGATCAAATTTCATGACCGGTCGAAACAGAGTGACGTCGTAACGGATAAATATCACAATTGCACTTTTAAACAACTGTTCTTTAATAAGCATATGGAATGCTGTTACAAGCTGATACAATCAGTGCATACATAATAACAGTGGAATGACGAACGTAACGGGTTTAAGTGGCCGTATGTTAATTAACGGGGTAGAATTATAAAGGATTTTATTATATCTGTCGGTTAGTATGCGCGCTGTGATTGCTCAATTTAGCAGGCCGCATTCTCCTATACGGCCCGCTAAAATTCAAAGTTATTTCTGCTGCCAAACTGTTTCGTGATTTATCGCCAAGTGATCTTAACTTTTATAGGANGCTGATACAATCAGTGCATACATAATAACAGTGGAATGACGAACGTAACGGGTTTAAGTGGCCGTATGTTAATTAACGGGGTAGAATTATAAAGGATTTTATTATATCTGTCGGTTAGTACGCGCGCTGTGATTGCTCAATTTAGCAGGCCACATTCTCCTATACGGCCCGCTAAAATTTAAAGTTATTTCTGCTGCCAAACTGTTTCGTGATTTATCGCCAAGTGATCTTAACTTTTATAGGAAGTAAAAGTCTAAAACTTTATTTTACTTTAAATTGTGTCTTAAAGCGTGCTGACGATTTAAAAACGATTTCAAATTGACTCGTTATGCTTTCGAGGTACGTCAGAAATTTTTAAGCCGTTCCGCATGAATAGAAATCATTCCCAAACCCGGCAGACACATAGTAGATATATAATGAATATCTTACTAACCTCGTTTTCTCGGTCCGTACTGTAAGTTCCGGATCCTCGTTTTTTCCCCTTCGATTAGATTTTATTCATAAATCGATGGGAAGAAAACTCGGTCCGTAACTTACAGTACGGCCCTCGAACTCGGTTAGTAAGAGGTATATATTAGTTGGGATCTCAGAATATGGCCATCGGCCGTGTTAACCGGTTAGTGACTTAAACGGGGTTTTCTTATAGGAAAATGTTTGGGCGTTTCACCGGGACGAAAACAAAGTGGCCGTAATAACGAAGTCATGACCGTAAGGCGGGGTCCGCTGTATTTATATAATTGCAAAAAACAAAAAAAAAAAACCAAAACAAAAAAACATAATCCAGTAAATTATAAATCTCAATCAAAATATTTGTGCTGCCCGGTATGTTTCGCTACAGTAAAATAGCTATGTGAACTTACGCCAATATCCGGGGAACCCTCATATGAAAAGGTCAGGGATGCTCGTCGGAAAATTTGAATTAAGCCCCCAAAGGAAACCAACCTAGGCGTAGTTTGGGCTTTATTTGACCCTAAAAGATACCACTTAAAATAGAATAGGCTCGATTAACAGCCGCCGTTCAGGAAAGGTGCCCGCGCCAGTAGACGAGACTCGGGGGACCCGCGGAAATCGAACATAAAAGCGGAAATAAGAGCCTTTTTTAATTAGTTATTCTTTGAGTGCACCCTAAAAGATACTTTGACGGCTAAAAATAGTGGTGTTGCATCATGAACACCCCAAATGAGACCAGAGCACTTGATTTATACCCCTAAGCGACACGGCGAGAATCGCCGACCTTTTCATATGGGAGTGCCCCCCTCTGAGCGCCAACACCACCAGTTCTAAAACGTTTCGTTTGTCTTGCCAGCTAAGCAAACAATTACTTGTAAGCGATGCCGCATGAGATGGAGGTATCCTTTGCCGAGATAGCGACGTTCTCTCCACAGTTACCGGTCGCCACGACGCCGCCGAGACCTAACTCTCCTGCTTGCTGGCCTTATGATTGGCCGCAAGCTCCCGGATCGAGTGGTGCAAATTCATGCACTGGCCAGAGATTCATTGTTTTATGTCGTTCAGCCAAGACACTGCTTTACTTTCCCACTGCATGTCTTTCTCCCCCCCCCCCCCCCCCCCAGTTTCATTCGGTTCATTTCATAATTTAGTTTTCTTTCATTTAATATAAAGTGAGTGATTCTCACGATTTCCAGAGAAACATCACAGAGGCAAACAGTGTAGTCCTCATGCCGAGTTATCTCTTTATTTAACTGGAAACATATTTTATATCTGTTTCTTTCTGATTAAATCTTGAACACCGACAATTTGAAAGTTAATTTGACTTTTATGGTTGCATTAATTTTATGCCTAGAATTTCTGGATTTCTCTTTATTTCTTCATGTCGATAGTCCCATTCCTAAAGGTAACAGAAAAAAAAGTTAAGAAAACAAAGGCGAGAGAAAATATCATTCCAACAGGGTATATTGGATAGGTTCATTTCAGCGATATAAATATAGTACCATTTCAGTAACTTCAAATTTATGTTTTCCAATAACTGTCTAATTTCTCGCGCGCTGATTGGCCCACTTTTATCATCAATAAGAGTACATACAGACGGATAAATTTTAATTTCTGCAAGCTTTCAAGTTCGACTTTCAGCTGTCAAACTGTCAACTTTTTAACCAATGAGATTTTATGGACTTTTTTAAGTAGCCAATTAAAAAGCGAGAAAAGCTATTAGCAACGTTCGCGTCATTTTGAATAAAATTCACTCATCTTTGTTTACGGCAAGTTTACTGCGTCTTTTCCCTACATTTATTCCCGAAATTTAACCATTTTGNACCACTTTGACAATGTTATGACGCAATTTATTATCAATAAGAGGACAGACGCATAAAAAATGACGTCAATTTGTTAATTTGCCCTGCTCTAGGACAACTGAAAAGAAACTTTCACTCAGCTTTCAAGGCCCCAGATTATTTAATTCCCTTAACTCTGTTATTCAAAATACCTCTAGTACTAGTATTGCTGCGTTAACGTACCTCTAAACTTATGTCATCTTTCTTGGTATACATGTAAGTATATTCTACTTCTCCTAGTGTGCTTGTGTGTACTGTGCAAACTCCGTGTACTGAGCTTTTTTTTGCCTTCCTTTGCTTTTGAGCATTTGCGCGTTTAGCTTTGCTTAAACTACTTTTTATCCTAAATTCTGATCATTTTGTGTGCCGATGTCAGCATTTTTATTCTTTTGTTGAGTCTTATAATTAAGGTAGTCCTTTACACAAGCCTCATTGGCTTCTCTGGGCTCCCTCGCCTTATACATTGATATTTTGTAACTACATTCATAAATGGCACGAAATAAAACAAATAAGCAAAATTTTGCCCATACCGCATAGTCCAGCCAGTTATACATTGATAGACTGATACAGTTTTGGCACTCTTTATCAAGAGATGTTAATGTTAGAATATTAGTTATGCCCAGTCATTGTTGAACATGTTGCAGTTATATTCATTGCATAATTGGTCACCATAGCAACCGTACAATCTGTTAAGTCCACTAAGCCTGGGCTATAATTGTTTTGTTCGTGAGCCTTAGGAGTGGTAACTTTTTGTCCCCCCCCTCACCCCCAATGTATCTCCAAAAGTATATATTTACTCAATATAGTTACTCCGCTGTCACTGTCGTTTAGAGAGCAATTGTCCCTGTCGTAGTCATGGCAGTTATTATCACCGTTTTTGTTGTTATTGATTTTCAGTATCATTTTCATTCACCTGTTTCATGACAGTCATCGTTGTCACCGGCACCGTTATCGTTTACAAAGTATGGTGAGGATCAGAGATAGCATATGCCGCGGAAAGCTAAAGTTTGAGTTGCATTGAACATGTCTCACCTCAGAAGAAACTCAGAAGACACAACCACACCGAAAGCGACAATTTGTCCTCATGTATTTACCGTTATCATCGCTATACGCACAGAACCTCGCGAATCGTTTGCAGAATGTCTTGCTCCTTATGTTTTTGCAGCCTAGAGAAGAAAATGCAAAATACCCGTCAGACATGACCTGATCCTGTGCCAAGATTGTATTAAGCCGACGGACTACAGTCAGCACCACAATACCAGCTCTACTGATCCAAAAACTCATCACAACCTTGAATCAAAAATGACTGGCCACAACCTGCTTGAATAATTCTCAGTCTGCGCTTCTCGTTATTCCTAGTGAGGTTTTTGATTTTGGGAACCAATGTTTTTGTTCAAAACAACTCTATGATGAACACAATTTCATGTTCATTTGAGATAATAAAAGGTGGTAAAGAAAGGAAGGTACAGTTCACGTTAAAGCCTAGGGCGGGGCAAGGGCTTCAAAGTATCCGTGCTTATTTCTAAACAAACAGCATTCGAACTATAGTCATCAACCTTTGTGACTATTCCTAAAATTTACCAGAGACCATTTTATTGTATCAGTTGACTTTTGCCGGTTTTTATGTGACGTCATCATTTCCAAAATTAAAAATCACCAATCGTTCTGAAGTTTTAGTTTCATCAGATCAGGAGCCATAATCGGGGACGGAGACCGTAAGCGCGTGCCATTTCTAGTATTGGGGCTGTCCCTAAGATATGGGAAAATTTTTCTATTTTTAGAACAAATTGCGCCATCCCGTGCGGCACACGCGCGCACATGCTGCGAGGATTTTTGCGGATGTAGCGCGGGGAAATGGCGTCCGAAATTCCCGAAATGTTTGATGCTTTTGGCCCACAACTCGACACTTTCATGTCTGTTGGAATTTTGCTTCAGTGTTTTCGTCGTAAGCTGCTCCAGTTTGAGTGAAGTAAGACAGTGTCAAATTTAGCTATGTGCCGCTTTATATCACTGACCAAGTTGTGTTCCGCAGCTTCTTTTGCAAGGGCTCCACATTACTCCACTCTAAGTTTCACATATGTTGAAGATTAACAGCTTTTCCAAAACACAGCAAAACACTAGTTGGATATAATTGGATATAGCAGCGTTTCAGGACTTCAAAGTTTCCCTCCTCTTCCACACGCTTGCGAAGATTTCACCAGAGTCTATCTCGACCGAACAGTAAAAAAAAAATAATTGCAAGTATGAGTTTCGCCTAAATTGTAAGCAACGCTTGATGTTTTATCAAGACCCAATAAGTGACAATAAAGTTTATGTCTGTTGATGCTGCTCAGTTTTGTTTGTGTAAAAATCCAATAAATTGACTGTTGTCGATGAATAAGAGCGTCCGCCGATGCGTGTTTTGTACAGTCAGTAAACTGAACATGACAAGTTGGACTTCCCCACTTTCGAGTGAAACGTACATCGAACTCATGTATCTCTGGTTTTTAAATATGTTTAAGGTTGATAAATGTTTTAGAACATATTAAAAGCTTAGCTCAAAATATGTGAATACAGCAGAGATAATCAGCTTTCTTTAATCAACTCGAATAGTCACGGTACTCGAATAAAGATTTCGATTTTGTTGGTCGAGTTACCAAAACTCCTTGTCTATTTTATTTTCGCAGTGTAAAATTTCACTACGTTAAAGAAGCACTCGTGATGTTAGTAGCCTTTTGGCGTTGGTGAAACTTGTTGCAGCATCTCGGCACAAAAGACAGCGAAAGAGATCTTTGTCAAGATTTGTTGACAATTGAAAACACCGATTCGGACTTGAAAGTGCACGCTCTGCACTATGCAAATGAGCTACTTGTACGCGTCAGACTTTCCTTTCAAAAACTTTTGCAAACTCGCCAAATAAACAAAACAATAAGAAACTATAGTTCGTATCAAAACAGGGTTTGGTTATGATTAAGCATTGTTTGGGAAACTCACAAATTAACTCGATACCAGAGTAAAGAGTATTCTTAAATAACTTTTTTTTTATAGAACAAGCGCAAAAGCCTACGCGTACAACTAACGCGAGCATTCATTCACAGCGCGAAATCGAAGTCATG